GGGGGGGGGGGGGGCACTGGGGGCTCATAAATCCAAACCTGCTTCACTGGCCCCAGCCCTGCCCAGAGCATCCCCGTGCTGCCCCTGCCCCATGTCCCCAGGTCTCTGTACTCTGCTCCCACCGCCGCTGGCAGGGCTTGCGGAGTCGTGGCCACCATCTCCCCAGGTCAGTGTCTTATTCAGAGATTTTATATCCCGGCTCCCCTCTGAGTGTTTTTCCTGACCACGAGGTGTACCACCGGTCTCATCTCCCCCAAACAAAACCAGATTCCTTCACCTTGCTTTTTCCATCCTCACCTGATAGCGGCAAGCAAACGGCACCGAGCGTTCCCCCACTGCCCTCTCCTCTGTCCTTCAGCCTATTTATTGACGGCACTTTGTGAACAAATCCACCGAAAAATTTTTCTTTCGAACTTGAAGCAACAAAAATCTCACCCTGCATGAGTAAGTCTCTGTTCTCACCCAACGCCCACATGGACCCAGCTATTCCTTTTAGTATCAACAGCTTTACAGAAAACAGACCTCTGTTTTTATCCACCTAGACAGACACTGTGAAAGCAGTGACAGAAAGGAAGAGTCTGGCATGCTGCAGCAAGCGCCGGCCCCTCCGGAAAGAGATTTCTGCTGGGGCAGGAGGGAGAAGCAGTTGGTGGAGGGGGGTGACACCGTGCCCACCCCTTCCTCTCCCAGAGCAGGGACACGCAGGTGACCCCAGGGACCTGTGGCAGGGGCACCCCCGGGAGACCTGCTCTCCACTGCCAGCACCCCTGGCGGCAATCCCCCGTCCCGGGGCGGGCAGCGTGGGCAGCAGGGTGGCCATCAGTGCCCGCTCCACTCTGCTCTTCCCTCCCCAAAGAGGCAGAAAACATTGAAAGCTGCAAACCTTCCCATCAGAGTTGAGATTGGTGCCAGTAAGCACGGCGATTTCCAGAACAGGCTCTCAGTAATAAAGGAAACACAAACCTCAGCCCACCGCCCCTCGAGACAACCTCACGGTTTTGTTACGAGGATTATGTTTGTTTAGAAAGTCTTTTTTTCTTTTTTTTTTTTCAAAACGTTGAACCTGCACAAGCTCGTCAGACCTAATGGCAGCTGCGGGCTGAGCCCCTGGAAAAAAATTTGACTGTGCTTCACACTTCTCAGCGCTGCGCGTACTTGTGGAGTCCGCGTTTCCACTTCGGTAGCGCGAACGGCATCGTGCAAACAGACACGATTTACTGTTGGGGTTTTAGGTATTAGCTCACTGTTTTGGAACTTGGCAGCTAAAGACACGACTCCTCCCTGCTTGGCTTTTGCAAGTGGGATTGGAGGAGGTCACCGAAGCTCCTCATCCCTCTCCTGCTCCCACCTCGCAGCACCTTTGTGGGATTTGACTTTGCTCCTTCCTGCCCAGTTGCACAGCAGCATCCTGCTGCATCCCACCTCAGAGCAGCCCGGGTACCCACCAGGAACGGGACAAACACTCCCGAGCCTTCCCTGCCCGCCTGCCACACGGTCGCTGCCGCCCCTGCCCACACCCCAGCACTAAAACACCTTAAGCAAAACCAGCAACGTGCCATCCCGCACCCTCCACCCAGAGGCACTTAGGGCAGAGCCGGGACTTTGGGTTTGGGGTCTCCTGCCTCCCTTACACCCACAGGGCCATGGGGAGACAACACCTCAACAGCCCAGCCTGGTTTACAGCCCTCAGCCTGTAACTGCAGGCAGCCACAGCGTGAAAATCTTGGGGACGGAGCACCAGAGGTGATGCGGGGTGCTCGGGTGATGGGTGCCTCGGGGCTGGGGCCAACACTACACCCCAAAACTTGCACTGACCTTCACTCCGCTAAACCTGCACAAGGACAGCGCCACGTCAGGCTTTGCAAAGGCGGTAAAAGCACCGTAAAGGGCTGCAGCCTACCAGGCTTCCCTTCGACAACTCAAGTGCTTCCTCCCGACAGATACAACATCGAGCCGCCTGCCAGACACCAGCGTGTAAAAAGTGCTGGTTTAAGCATTTGTAAGTGCAAAGGGGTGGGTTTGCGTCTGGCGGAGGCAGCTCAGCTCGGGACCCCAGCAGCTCCCAGTTCCACTTTCAGCCTCTCACGTTACACTTCATGCAACCGCTGCTGCACGGTGGTAGCATTTTGCTAACTTCTTGAAAAGACAAAAGCTTTTCAGTCAGTGCCTCTCCAAACCACAGCATGTGCCGACAGTTTTACGGTGCTGCTGGTTGCGTGGCCACGGTTGGAAGCCGCCACGTGGGACCTACAGAGCCGCCATGGGGAAACGCTCCCACGGAGCCACCACTCCTGCCTACACCCCTCCCGGCAGCACCCTGTGCTGGGCTCAGCTGAACCCCGACGGCAACACGGAGGGAAAAAATACAGTAGAAAAGAACAACTCAGTTTAGCAAGAAACAGAGCAAGCCCCTGGCAAACCAAGGTCAAGGGGAGTTGAAGTGTGTGCGGGGAGAAACTTGGGATTTACGGGGCCGGATTTACAAGAAGGGAGTGGAGCCATGTACCACCCCGGGACCTGCAGCTGCTGGATGAGGCCAAAGCTCCAGGTCCTTCAGGGGCTGGTGCTGTCCCCTCCCTGCCACCACCTGCATGGCAGTTCCTCTCCCTGTGCCTCAAAATTTGCCCTGTATAACCTGAGGGAAACATCTTAACAGTCGCAGCAAGGGGTCACAAGGCTGACTTCAGTGGGGAAACAGAGCGAAGGCATGACGAAAAAAGTCGTAGGACCTACAGAAAAGGTTTGTCTCTGTGAAGCAGCTGTCCCACGAGCCGTGGCTCTCCAGCAGCCTGGCAGGGCGAGCAGGACTTACCTGGGCCAACACAGGATCCTCCCAGGCCAAGAAATGCTCAAAGTGACGGCTTTGATGAGCTGCTGGGAGCCAGGGAGATGCCGAGGAAGCCCCCGGGCCCAGCCCCACTCTGCCATTAGCAGTGGGTGTCCCACGGGAGCAGCCGGACACAGCCCTGGGGTCCGGTGCTGCACCCCGAATCCGATGGCGTGGGAGTGAGCGTTGGAGCAGATCCAGACTGAATTTCACCCAAATGTAGATTTGAAAATACCTCAGGGCACTCCTGCAGGTGGGGAGAGGAAAGCCTGTGGCACCCCATCAATCCCATTAAACCCAGCAAGAGGCAGTAGGAGAGCCGGGGCTGAAGACGTGGTTTGAGCAAAGGAGCCCCCAGTAACCGGGGGGAGCATTGGGAGACGCCCTCCCTGCACCGTCTGCCCACAGCCCACCTGCAGCCGCGCTGCACTGCGGGGCGCACACCCCACCCCACATTTCTGTGCCCCCAAAAGGCCCAGAGGCACCTGGAGCACTGAGACCATTTCCAGCAAGGGAGGAAAGTTTGGGAGCCCCCCCCCCC